CATAAATAAACAATTTTTAAAAGAAAATTAGCTATATTTATTGAGGGAAGCGGCATTTTTTACATTTTTTTACAAATCTCTTCATTTTCTGCCTTATTGAAGGCAGGGGATTCTCTCATCTGTTTGTTCCTGCAAACTATTGTAAATATTGTTTGGTTTGAAGTATGTGAAGAAAATCTGGCCTCACTCGGGCATATAGTCAGGAAAGGGAGGACCATGCAGACTGCCTGTAAGGTCCTAAGGACCTGAGAATCCTGGGACCTCACTTTGTTGGGTTAGATATTTCTCTTATGCCACCCTCCAACCTGCCATGGAACAATTATCTTAATCTCATGAAAGAGATATTTGGAAAATCTTCCCTGTCTATCCTGTCTTCTGCACCTTTATTCACACTCCTTTCATTCAGACCCTAATCATCTCTTATGTGGAGCCTCAACAAGCCTTCCCACCTGGTCTCTGTATTTAACCTGACTCTTGCATTCCATTTTCCATTCTGTCCACAGAATGATTTTTCTAACATGCCAATCTGACTCTGTCACATCCAGGTTCATATTATTTAATTTTTCTTTCTCACAAGATCAAGTTTAAACTTGTCTTTAACATGGCATATCAGACCATCCACAGTTAACCCTCTACCTACCTCTCCAATAACTTGTGGTATAGTCATATTGAATGTGAATAAAAAGACACAATATATTTTCTTATTCTTTTGTACCTTTGTGTGTGTCTCTTTCATCCATGATGCTCTTTCTGTCCCTTATCCACTTAATGAAATCTTACTCATTCCTCACAATTTAACTCAGGTATAATTAACTACCACCACAGCTCCTACCCATCTTTATGCCAGAATTAGGTGGCTTTTGGTATCTCCAGCTGAATAAGAATAGGAAAGACATGTATTAACACTTTACAAAAAGCTTATCAAAAAAGATGTGCTTGCCTTAGCCAGTTTCGCTCAGTGGTTAGAATGTCTGCCCTCGGACTGAAGGGTCTCGGATTTTATTCAGGTCAAGGGTACATACCTCATTTGCAGGCTCAGTCCCTGGCCCTAGTTAGGGTATATGCAGAGGAGGCAACCAATCGATGTGTCTCTCTTACATTGATGTTTCTCTCTCTCCCTTCCACTCTCTCTGAAAAGGAATGGAAAAAATATCCTCGGGTGAGAATTTTTTTTTTAAAAAAAGAAAAGAAACCTTAAATTTTATAAAAATGTAATATAATCCACAGTGTCAAGTCTTGGAACAATCTTGTGGAGAACTCCCAAACAGAATTGAATAACATGTTCACATATTTAGTGAAAAATAATAATAATAGAATAAAAATTTTTTTTAAAAATGCTACTTTCTATACTAATTGGTGACGGATAAAGATAACTCAGATATTTTAAGAGGAAAATCATATTCCCTTCAAGAGCTCACCCAGAAATATTCAAAATCATTTAAACAATAATTGCACTAATCATTTGATGAATCCAAAGACACACTTTATTACGGTCTTTTATGCAATTTGTAACAAGATTGAATAGTTCAGATTCTCTTATTTGCAAAGCTATAAAGTATTTGAGCCACATCTAAAACCATAAATTGATTTGAGCATTGCTTGTAAAGTCAATCAAATTATTTTTAGTTAAAAAATATAAGAGGTATGCTGATAACTAAGTCAAAATATATTAAATTGTGGCTTTCTTCATTAATACAGATCCTCACCTTATTTTTAAACTGGTAACAACTGAATAAGCCATGCAGTGATATCCACTGTCTATCAGGGTGTGCTCATTTTCAACCTGTTTATATATCATTTTTGATTATTGTAAGTGCAGAATACTGGGCCTTTCTAGAGGTGGGACTCAGAAATCTGCATTTTAAACCAGCCTTCAAATTTGCTTCTTTGTACTCTAAAAGTTGTGTGTCTTCCAAAAAGTGTTTTAGGGGGCAATACTTTGTGTGTCGTCCTTATCAATGCACACTTTCATGAATCCCCTTATCAATTTAATTTATAGATTCTGGCAGCCTCTGCCTTCTCCCTCAGCAATCCTAGACATATCAGAACTATAGATTTCCCCAGTTAAACAATCTTGCAGGCAGCTCAGTGCAAGTTCATCTGAAAAGAATACATACAATGAAGAGAAATAATTAAGACAACTCCCATTATTGAATATATATTTAATGTTGCAGGTTAGGTGTTTTTAATAAATCATATTTTAAAATATAGATAATATTCTCATTTAGTACTTAAAGAAATTAAAGTTCATGCTGTGAACTAATTTGTTTAGGGTTACACAACTAGTTACTTGTTGAGCTTAGGATCAAACACCCATGCTTTTGCCACATTGCCTTTGAACATAAAATATCAAATCAGTCATTACGTTGGGAAAAAATATAAAGGAAAAAATATTCCCATGTTATCAAAATCCTCACTTGCTTGCACAATAGCTAAAGTACCACTTAATCTTGTAGGAGTCTCCCACTATCTTCACTCCACATTCTCTCTGCTTTTTCGGTCTCAGCTCAGTCCTGGTAAGTCCCATGATAAATTCTTCCAGCTCTGGTACATCATCAGCTACATTATTGATGCCCTGAATTACACTAAAATGAAACATATATATGTCCTATTTTAAGCCCTAATTATATGATGCAGTAGCCACTGGTCCTACATGGTATTTCAGTGTAATCAATTTACTTAATATTTTAATTTAAAGTTAATTAAAATTGGACCAAAAAAAAAAATTCAGTTGCCTGGTCACATCAATAGCTTCATTGGTCAGTGGCTACTCTATTGAATAGTTAGATATAGAAAAATCCTATTTGGAAGCACTACCTGAATGTATAGGTAAAAGAAAATTTTATATTTGAAGGGTTAGACCTTTGGTGCAGAAACAAAAATTTTCTATGTATTTACACACTTATTTTGATAAATATTAAATAAACTTAAGTAACTGATGTTTTTATGTTTTTTTCTTATAATTATAACCTCTTTCCACCCCTTAAAAGAAGTAGATTATAAAGTGTTTTTATTTTTTTTTATTTAAAAAAATTTTTTTAAATATATATTTTTAAATATATCTTTATTGACCTCAGAGACAGGAAGGGAGAGGGAGAGAGACAGATAGAAACATCAATGATGAGAGAGTTATCATTGATCGGCTGCCTCCTGCTCACCCACAACTGGGGATTAAGCCCGCAACCCAGACACATGCCCTGACCTGGAATCGAACCTCAGTGCCCCGGATCCTAGGTCCATGCTCAACCACTGAACCATGCCCGGCCTGGCTAAAGTGTTTTTAAAGATACTGTTGGTGGTAATCTGCTTATTACACTGATTAGACATTCTTGAATATACAAATTCTAAAGTGAAAATTAGATTTTTTTCATTCTACACAAGCATTCCCATGAAATTAATTTTTTCCTTTATAACCAGAGAGATCCATGCAGTTAAGACTGTTTGAGGTGCAGTTCTGTACATCTTGTGTCAGCATGTGTCCTGGACTATCAGTTTCAAGGATGTTTGTATTGCAAACAACCTTGGAAGACAGAGCTCCCTCCAGGTCAGGGGATAGATTTGTTTCCTGAAGAGGTTAAAGATAGAATCGTTCCTTGGGGAAAGTTGGTCAGGTTTGCTAGAATTCTCATTTCAAAGACTGGGAGTTCTTAAGCTCATGGTCCCTCAATTGTGACAAACACACTCTGTGTTCAGCACCCACGTGGTCTGCTCTCCATCTCTACCTTGGGTCTTGGGGCCAGGGGAACTGGTGTCAGTGAAAGTCATGCTGTCTTCTGGGCCCTGAGTAAAGCTGTGTCTCTAACCAGAATCTGTGTCATTCAGCAGCCTCCACAAACTGTGACTGGCTGAAATGTAGGGTTGAAAGCTCTGTGAGATCTCAGACCCCACAGAGCTCTTGAGAAAATAAGACAAATTAGAGCTAATAGGTGTGGACTCACAACGGGGTTCTAAGGAAAATAATCTCACAGGGTGATCTGATCATAGATCCTAACCGGGCAGGTCATGGTGGGTTATCACATCCCAGGCATATAACCTTTTTAGTAAAAGGTTTGTGTCCGTCTTAAGCAAACCTTGTCCGTTGTTCATGTGCATCTAGGTTAACACACCTTTTAAATATGGGTTCCCACCCTCAAGAGCGCACATGATCTTGAGAACTATCCTGTAATCCACTCCCCATTTTGCTTTCTCCCACCTTCAGGTAATCTTCCTTATGTTCCCTCATTAATTTAAAATGTATAAAAGAATCTTCTGACTGTCATTATGCAAAGTATTTTTTTCAGATCTTGCTTCCAGACATATCCTCTGTTTGGCTCAAATAAGTTTTTATAAAAATCCTCTACAGGTTGAATGTTCTTACGTTGATGTAAGTATGTCCTGAAAAGTGGAGTACAACCCCGAGTGTGGGAGAGGCAAAGTGGTAAAAAGATTGAGGGTTGATTTTTAGGGAGTTGGTGAAGTCTGGGAACAAAACACATAATTTATTTTGTAACAACTCCTAATCCACTTAATTATTGGCCAGTTAAATTTAGGCTTCAAAATTGATGATATGGGTTAATATTGATCTTGGTCAAAAACAAAACACCTGAAGACACAGGTTCTTCAGAATAAAATAGATGCCTAATTAGCTTTGTAATATTTATTCAGTTTTTCCTCAGCATTGTCAGTTCTAAAGGACTCCTCATTAAAAATTATCCCACTGATAAGCAGAGCTGCCCTTCGCATCCTAAAGACGAACCCCCTTGTCTTTGCTTTCCCAATCCTAAGTCAGTAATCTTTTAATAAAATGGAGATTAAAACTTATCTGTCTCACACTCAACCATCTCCCCAACCCTGCCCCACTCCCATGCCTCCCTCCATCCCCTCTACACACATCCTGATGTGGAAGGTGCACATCTGTACCTAGAAAGATGGAGAAATGTCTCTTCATAGATAGCAGTCAAAAGACAACCAATTGAAGTTCCAACTATTTTATTAAGGTGTTGGTATTATTTACTTTTAAATTACATGGCGTATTTCTTCGTCCATGCTCGAGCCATGGCATCATACTTTGGCTTATCATTGATGTACGTCTTCCAAATTTCTGGAACCAGGATATTGTGTGGGCTGGGATCACACAGCATGGAGCTGATAGACAGCAATATTTTGGAAACTGTGTGTGCTGGTGACCACTGGGAATTAAGGATGGCCAGACCCACACATCCTTTCTGATTTATGCTGGGATGGTAAATTTGGGTTTTAAATAGGACCTTGGGTGGTTTGAAGGGGTACTCCCACGGGAATCGGATAGTGAGGAAGAAGGCTCCTCCCTGGTAGGGGCTGTCCTTGGGCCCTATTATATATCCCTTCCAGTGGAACATGTCGCCTTCCACGGGACCTACGGAGCAGAGCTTTGGGGGGTCTCGAGAAAGGTCGAGGAGCTCCTTCTGGAGGCGCCTTACAGCCAGAGACAGCGCCATGCGGCTCCGATCCTCCTCGTGAGGTTTCCTAATAGGTGGAAGGTTGGGGGAGACCATGGTTAAGGGGATCAGCAATCCACCAGATCAGCGGATAACTGGGTAAAGCCGGGTTCTGGGGTGGAGAGGGTGACTGGGGACAGGGATGGTGGTGGAGACGAAGGTTGAGGAAGGAGAGATGGGAGCCCAGAGGGACTGATAGGCTACTGCTCACCTGTGTTCCGCACAGCTGCTGGCTCCACCACTTCCGGGCTCTCCTGATCTGGATTCTGCTGCTCAGAGACCCCGCTGCCCGTACACACGACCACCAAGGACTGGGCTGCTCTTGCTCAGGGTCGCCTGGTCCTGCTGCTGGTTGCTAAAGTATACATTGGGTTCCATGGCAACAGTAGGGAACCCCTTATGTGAGGTCACAGGGACCAAGCTGATGACATCACTCAGTGAGTGCAGAGGGTGGGGGCAGGGTGAAGAGGTGATCTTAATAAAGGACGGTGGAGGACGGGAGAGACCAAGGAGATCAATGGAGGGGGGGGTG